TTAAAAAAAAGGTTTCTTAAAAGGAAGGATGATTTTGAACATGCTTCTGTCTTCTGGAAGGAGCTGCAAGACATAGTTATGCCTATGAAGCTGGACCCAGGAGACAGCTGTCAATTGGATGAGTCTCCAATACCCACTAGAAGCTCTCATATCAGAAAGACTTCCTGACTCTTTTGTGATATTGCTGAACTTTTCATCCACATGTGCCAGCAGAGATGAAGATCTGACTGCAAAGGCAAAATAGTCCCTGGGTACTAATGCTATGGATTCATTCAGGCTGTGGATCAACAGTTTGATGTGTTAAACTTCTGTTCTCACTAGTGCATGGATAGCCAGAGATGTCTGTGATCTGTGACTCTGTAGGTACATGCACCAGGGCTCCAGGATAGACATCTGACAACTAAACCTATGAGTTTGTACTCATCACCCTCAGCACCTCTGGAGCATAAGACATCTCATCCTGATGGCAGCACTGGAGTTCAATTAGCCAAATTCTCATCATTGGGTGCCAAACCCTCTGCAGTGACTATGAAGAGAGCCTAGGGATTGGACTCAGACCTCTAACACAGATGTCTAAAATCCCACTGAAAAAATAATGAGGGTCTGGCTGCATTATTGCTGCAAAGGGGGGGGCAGGGAGAACAGGGGTCAGAAGACAAGTTCATGACATGAACTCAGACTGCCAGTACAGCTGGTTACTCCTTGCCTGTGCATTGGATTCCCCATGGCCGGGGTCAGGGAGAATTCCTGCTTTAGGTCACATTTTGGAGTTAGGATCTCCCAGCTCTCTGGTTTCATCAGAGTTACTTCGTAACTGCAAGACTTAACTCCTGAAACTAGCAGACTTTACCATCATATGTACAATGCGGTATATATATTAATTATGTCTGTAACTATAATTGTATGCAGACAGAGAAATATGAAGACCTTGATGTGAAAAACATTTTAGTAAGATGATTTAATCACTCATCACCCATGGAAATAATTTTCCATATTCTCATCTACCAGGGCATTCGCCTTTTATGTAGTAATTGCAGACAATCACTGTCCCCTCTCCTTCAGTCTAAATTAAAACTGCTTTAAATGTTTTGTTAATGTCTCTCAGTTATATTGTACACCTTCTATAAGGCTTTCCTTTTACAGGTTAGTTAACACCTAGACAACATGATCTAACCTTGATCCATCAGCCAATTCCTTATGCGTGGATGGAGAAGCGTGCACAGAGACCAACTGAGACCAGTGAAATTCCATACAGACAAAAGGGATCTAACCAGGCTTAAGTCAGGACATCTTTTTCTTCTCAGATATGTACCTTTCAACTATTTTAATCTCAGTGAACGTGCAGTTGTTTGCTCTGACATCTCTCCTTCTTTCCTTCTTCTGGTAAGTTTTCTGTTTCGATGAATGTGGGAAAGCCATCTGTCATACTGTCCTAAAACTGACCTATGATAAACAGGACAAAGTTTTTAATTTTCCCTGTGAGACTTTGCCCATACTTACTGGATGCTGGATTACTATGCGTCAATGTCTCAAAGGCCCTCATCTGTGTTGCTGCCACTTAACAGGTTATTGTCCGTCTGCTGACTGACAGTAGCCAACTGTTTGCAAATACCTAGCTGCTGCTGCACAAAATAAACGTGCTGCCTTGGATCTTCTTACGGTATGAGCCTTGCTAGAAAACAGACCATCAGGGTGGCTTAGACTAATGCAGGCTTAGCATAAAGGCAGGCTTAGAGACCTGACACAGCCAGCTCTGCTCAGAAGTGGCACCTTGTTAGGCCAGAGCGATGTTGTCTGTTTGCACTATGCATCCATTTTCTCAGATAAGTAGTTGTTTTAGCATGCTTTGCTTTTTTCTCCGGTATCTCAGCACATTTCCCATTACATTTGCATTACAATGCAAGCAAAATAAAATGTAAACTCCTTATAAGCAGACAGGAACACTTGAATTCTGCTGTTGCAAATTCCTACCTAAAGCAAATGCTATTCATCCAAATAAGGGCTGAGCCAGGACAGACTGGTAGCTAGCGCAATAACACAATTCCTAGTGAGTTCCTCTGTACCAATCTGTTAGAAAATAGCAACAATGTGAGCACGATATAGAAAAAACCTCCATCTTTAACATTTCCTCTTCATTTTCAAGCAGTAGGGTATATACCCAGAATGTTTGACAGTAGACACTTGGTCATATGCTTGTAATAACAACATAGAGAAACATCACATGTGAGAAAACCTGTCTAAATACATCTGATTTTTACCTTTATAATTACAGTGATCTAGCAGGTATTTTGGACAGAGAAAAACAAACCTCCAGAGCTACCTGTCAAATAGACAATTATAGCCTGAACTCCTAGAGAACATGGGGAGTTTTACCTGAGCAAAATCAGAATGAGGGTTTAAACTGGTGAGATTGGAAGCTGCTCCCAGAAGGAAGATACACAACATCTGGCATCATGCTGGGATGCTGCACCATCTCCATCTCTGGCCCAAAATCAGCAAAGTATCTGCCATATCTTTTCAGAACAGCATCTTAAATTTAGTTCACTTTGCAAAGACTCTCATTCAGCCCTGGGATATACCTACTAAAAGTAATATTGTGATATTTAATATTTATGTTAAAGAATCAGAAGGCTCCAATCTATCTAAAATATCCCAGATGCATTTAAAACACCACCAGTGTAGCTGTCATTATTTACTATTTAAGTATCTGTCAAGTTCTGGCAATGTTCTCAAAACATGAATCAGGACAGAGCTATTTTAATTCGAGTGGAAATGCCTGAACCTCATTTAATCTGTTTCAGCTTTTGACCTGTCAGAACCCATATGGGATGAAGCACTGAGTGAATTATAGAGCAACAGCAACTTCTACTGTGCCCTAATTATTGATTAAAATAGAAAGTAAGCATTTGCACAGTCCACACTCAAGTGAAATGCCTTTCCTATTCAGAAGAACAGCAGGTTCAGTGCATGATTTTCTGTAGTGTTGCTGCTTTATATATTACCCAGCTGTGACCTGAAAGTGAAAACAGCTATAAACACATATGAATCATCATCTTAGATGATTTTTATCCAAGTTCAGACAGGTAACCTGGATTGTTAAGAGTTATTACCTTACTATCCTATGGTTAAAGCAGAATTGAGGTAAGGAAATGTACATGTGTTGGTTTTAAAGTTGGCATTGCTCCTCTAACACATGAATAAAATTTAAACAAATCTCATTCCCATAACAAGCTGGATTCTGCAGACTGGGGAAAAAACACATGTTGTTCACTCTTGCCATTAATGTTCTGAAAAGGCATTTTCCTGACATAAAACTAATTTTCATCCCTGTTTTGGTTTTGCAGCATGGTAGCAATAATGTTTAAGCCTGTTGGACACCACCTCATGAAACATCCTACAAATCAGCTTCATCACATGAGCATCACACTGCTGTCTGCAGCTGGGGTCCCTGACACCATGGGCTTGAAAACAGAAAAGAAACCCTTTTGCATCAGGTTAAAGATCAGAACATTTTGGTTTGTCATTTTAAAAAGAGCTTACTTGGATGTGTTTAGTCTGAAAGAATAAATCAATGGAGGTTTCAGCTTTGGAAGCCAAGTTGGAACAAAAGGCAATGTAAAAACATCAAGTTGTCCCAAGGGCCTCACAAAGCTCATTTGCATCTTGTCTGTATACTCTGTAGAAAGGAGTCTAATGCGAGCACTTGCCAGCTATTAGCACGTGC